ATGTGTTCCTGCATTGACGCGAATAGCACGCACCACTAGTCCCAATTCTCCTACAGGGATGCTGGAGCCGAGGCTGTTAGAGGCTGGGAACAGATGCCCCCGGGCCAGCTTGAGCAAGCTTCAGTGTTTCACCTGCAAGTCCTCCATTCACTGGCAGCGAGTTGTCTGGCTCGTGGCGCGGCTGGTCTTCCTCACTGAAACCGCCAGTTCCTTTATGTTCCATTATTCCTGTCACTCGGCTTTACCGCCTATAAATCAGCCTTGGACAGGATGGTGCACTATCTGGTATTGTATGTCCAACGGAACTGCCACCAGCCAGTCTCTGGGACCCAACGGTCCTTCTCTTCATCCCAACACTCCCGCTCTCCTCATTTTGATGGGAAAGGACGTATTTTTATTTGTGAAGATGTATTTAACAAGTGCTTGCAGAAGTGCCTGGTTTTGTCATGTGATCGCGGGATAGCATCTCCATCACTTTTTTATGGACAAAGGTGTAAAAGTTCATCATTAATACCAGGGCTGAGCAGAGGAGCCCACACATACTGTGAAATACAAACGTGCTCACGGCCCCGCTGCATGGCCCCCGCCGTTCCAGGGGTTTTAGGTATATTGACTATCTCACTGACAAACCAGAACAGGCCAGAGAAGTCACGTACTTTTGAATGTCCTGCAACTCAAGCTTCATCCAGGTCATCTGCCTCCTTCCTGGACACGGTCCCCACGGCTGGTCTCCGGAACCCCTAGAGCTAGGCAGATAGCCTGGTTGTGACCTGGGCACCGGTGGTGCTGCCCGCTGCCTTGTTCAGGGGGCCGCTGGCTCAGTTTTAATAGTGTAATAGCAGTAAGACAAAAAATTGGGGTTGATTTGGATCCGAAGAAAGAACTGACAGTCTTTAAAAAAGTCCATCTTGAAATAAACGCGCCTTCAGGGCCATGGGGACGTGCCCGAGCAGGCCCGGGGGTCCGGAGCGGAGAACGTCCTGGGGTTCCAGCTGCCTTGGAAGCATATTCAGGGCAAATGCAGACCGGCGAGGGTCCTCTTCCGGGGGAAACGGGCTGTGTGCTTGGCAGCACTTTCCAAAGAGGAACCATTTCTCTTCTTGTCCCAGAAGAATCCGATCCGCAGGTCCCCACAGGGAGTCACACCTTTCTCACGACACAGGTGGAGGCCCAGCCGCTCGCCTGAACTCGATCCTGGTAGAGATTTAGAGAGGAGGAGAGAGCTGCCCCACCCAGAACCTTCCCGGGTACTCTAGAACCTTCTTCTTGTACAACTTATCCAGAGCTTATACAGTCCAAAGCACTGAACCAAACTCAAAGTCCCCCTCCGATCTACTTGGTCTTCTTCCCTGGGTGGATGGAGTCATTAGTGTTTTGATGCAGAATATTTGCTCTCAGTTTCTTCCGTGTTCAGTGTCCCAGCGATTCCAAGCTAGGAAACATTCCTGTCGGTATAGAGTTGTCTTTGGGGATGTAATCAGATACTTGCCACTCTTGGTAGACATCGTTTGAAGGGACCTTGGATATTCAAGGCCACCAAGTTCCTAGCTATTCGATGGCAGGAACCGTGGTTTTCTAAGTTCTGAATTTCAAGTGCATTGCCTAGTGCCCAGCAGACAGCTTAATAAGTCTTGCAAATGAATAAATGTTTTTATTACACTGTCATTACAGTGGCATCCAATTATGAGAATGGTCTTGAAAAATTATGAGTAGATCCTGTTATGTTAGGATTTTCTACAAGTAATTACTCTTTCAATTTACAGTGTCCAGGAACTGCCTTGTACCAAATGGGCAAGGCATAATGCGTAACCGCCGATTAATTAGCTAATTTTGTACCATAGCATACCCTGGAGTTTTCTAGATTTGTTTTCATGAAAACTAGAGCTTCATAATATAAATGTCATGTCTAATAAATCAAAGCTCTCAGTTCCCAGAAGAAGTGCAATTAATGAATAGAACTTTCTCAATTTGGTGTTGTTTTTTTCTTTTTCTCGTGCAATTAAAACAATTTTTTTTTTTTTGTTTCCTTGTGTGCTGGTATTTGATACTCAGAACTCACACATGATCTCAAGTACTTTCTTTTCAGCCCAATAAAACCCCCTTTCACCTAACATTTGGAACGTACATTTCTTGTTCATTTTGAGCCTGCTAAAACATGACCTCTTAAAATCTTCATGGATCACATTGTGATGCACAGAGACTGAATACCTGTATGAGGTCATAGTTTCCTTTGGGAAAATCATTCCTAGCTTTTATGATGGAATTAATTGGTCACTATTTCATGGGATTCTGCCCAAACTGCAATTTCCTGGACTAGCGTCAAGACCACTGGTGTATCTGAAGGAGTATAACGTTCACGTCATTAACCAGTTCTGTGCGATCATTTCATCATGCTGTGCTTTTGTCTGACAGAAAGGTCTTTGTGGAAGCACACACGTTCTCCCCATCACTCATGTTCAGTCCCAGACCTTGAATCTCTGCTTCATCAGTGCCAGCGTGCTGGTGGTGCTGCCCAGGGGCAGACCACTCGAGCAGGTCTGGTTCCCTCTTCTGGAATATAGATGTGTCAAGGGTACAGCCAAGCAAACTATTTTAGATCATTATTCTCTTCTTTGTTTTCTTAAATAGGAGAGAATAGCTCTCAAGAGTCTTATCATTTATTCATTCATAAAAAATGTATTTGTTCTTTGCACTGATAATGGCAACATACACACGGAGACATGGCGGTCAGGAACACAAACCCAACCCCTGGCATCCTGGCCTTATGACCCAGCAGGGAAGCGAGCCTCCCACCCATGGTTTGGGACATAACACAAGCTCCATCCTTTGTGAGTTATTAAAAGACCCCAAGGCAGACCTGTAGCGTTGGGTCCATGGTAACCATTGTTAGCCTGAGGATGAGAAAGTCTCACTCTTCCAGCTGAGAACTCCACTGAGTTCCTGTAAAATGCATCTATTTGTAAGATACTAAGGCTAGTAGTTTCTGCAAGAATATTAGTAAGTTAGGAAAAATAATTGGCGCCTATGTGCTGTGTTTGATTCATTTTCCATTTTCTTTTTGCCTCAAAGAACTCATATGCATAAGGAAGAACATGGTAACATGCTAGATGTTGGTGGTTCAATCATTTCTGGTGAAGATTCCAGAAAGGTCAGAATCAAGAACCGAGCCCTACGGAAGGGGAATGGGGTTTCGTGGGTCGTCAACTCCAAGGGCACTTTGAAAGGAGCAGAGAGGAGGACCAATGATTCATGCCCTTTGCCCTTCAGACTGCTAGAAGGTCAAATGGCAAAGCATAGGGGCGGGGGTTTCAAGTCTGTTGCATTGATCATTCCAATGAATTTCCCACCTCAGTCTTCAAGGTCAACAGCCACCCATTCATAGCGCTTTCCAGGTAAAACACCCTTCCTGCCTATCACAATGCCTGCCCCTGGCCAGGGACTCCAGGATTCGGTTGTAAATTCCTTAAGCCAGGGACCAACCCTTCATGACCACTGTATTCCAAGCCTTTGGTACAGGACCTCTCCAACAGAATATAAGACCATGGCCTTAGGTAGTGATGAAAATGCCAACCAGATGTCTGCCACGGCCATGACGGTTCTTGACGGGGCTGCGAGGAGGACATTAGTAGCACTTACATGTTTTGTTTACACCATTTCAATCATCTCGACGGTCACCATGGCGACCATCCACACCAGTGCTTAGATGTGTGAAAAGAGTGAGACAATAATAGTCTGTCAGCTAATTCTGCCCAGACCTAACCGGGACCTTCTCCATCCAAGTGTTTGAGAGAGCAGCGGCATCTCCTAAGAGGACACAGCTTCTTAACTTGAGAGCTTGATGGTGACGCTCACCCAGGTGAGCAGCAAGTCTTCTCCAGGCCGTGGGCTGGCACCTCAGTGGTCTTACGGTTATGAGTGGTTTAAAAAATCTGGAGGAATAAAAATGGATGGCTCTGGAAATACTGCCCATTTGCATATTAATAAATGTGGTAGCTTGCTTGTACTATTATTTTTGTTCTGGATCCCAAATACAATGCAGCAGGAAGCATATCCTGCAAATAAAAGCAGACAGTCCCCTCCCCCTGGATTAACTGTGTGGTAAGTGCTTTGCATGCGACATAGAGTACAGGTGTCTTGGCACAATGTCTGGGTCCCACTGCATGAAGGGCAGTGGTGCAGTCAGAGGGGCCCAGGTAATGGAGTGAGTCAGCTGATGGGGCTCTGACTCCCAGCTCTTCAGGGGACAACGGAGTGGCCCTGGCATGTCACTTCACCTGAGCCAAGGTTTCTCAGTTTTACAAAGAGGGATGTGGACCAGATACTCCCTGGGCCCCATGACTCCAGTTTCTGTGTGAGATGGATATTTTGGGTCAGTAACATGGGGAGGGATGTGAGTCGGAACCTCGTTTTGAAGGCACTGAACTTAGCTGTGTGCAGAGGGGCCCCCCACTTCTGATCAACGTCACAATCTTTGGCTACAGGAACTGGGAACTTTACAAATGCGTGTGTGTGTACGTGTGTGCGCGCGTGTGTTTTCTCCCCACCAAGTCGTAACTCATCCGAAATGCTACATTGGGAATGCCACCACTTTCTACAGATGGGGGACTGAGGCATGACACTAGCCAAGGGCAGAGCCAGTGAGGGCCTTCTGAGGGCTGTGAGAAGTTTCCGCCTTACTAAAATAACTGTTAAGATCCTTGGCTTTGGAGCTGTGGGAATATCTCGCTCCTCTCCTGACACTTTAGCTCGTGAGGCAACCTCAAGGGTACATGACGTGTCCCTGCTGAGAACACTATCTGCTTGCTTCGTACCACAGCTGATCAACCACGGGCATGTTTTACAGAAAGGGGCAGTGACCCGAGAAAAAACTTAAACTACTTTCCTGATTTCCAAATCCAAACCCAAACCAGCCAAGCAAAGACACAAACGGAAGAGCGTGTCGGGAACTTCTCCCTGTACTGTCCGATCGTGAGCGAAAGTAAGAACAGCAGGTAAGCGTGTATCCGAGCAGCGGTGAGCGGTACCACGTATACAATGTAACGGCATGCAGACCATGCGTAGGAGGAAGCGGCTTCCCTGTGTGACAGGGGAGGGCAGGCCCTGCCGAGCCCTGCCTGGGTGGGGCCGTCACACACATGCAGGTGTCCGGTGCAGCCGCGGGCCATCTCACGGGTAAGAGTGAGAGCAGTTGAGCTGTACAGAGTCTGCTGACATTACAAGGAGGAGTCAGCCCATGACCCCTGTTAAGTGGGCTTGTTGGAAGGGGTCCATATCGAATCAGAGATCCCGTCCCCTGTGGACGACAGAGGCATGGAGCCACTGGGCGTGAAGGGGTCCGTGTCCGTGTCTGTCTCCCCCTCGGCCAGGTACCGTTTCTCCCTCATCCAGCTCGAGCCCCCGTTTGGGCCAAACACGTCGTCTCTGTCTTGGGAGATGCTGAAGCCACTCGGAGACCGTTCCAGCTCCTCATGGTCGACTGACATCAGGGACAGCGGCGTGTCGCTGTCCCTGGTGATGCTGCGTCTCTGTCGGGGGGAGACCCGGTCCGAGCAGGGGCCGTGCGGGTCAGCCGGGGACCGATGGCTCACCCGGGAGTCGAAAAGAGTCAAGATGGGCAGGACGGTGGGCCTCTCCGCGTACGCCGCGGTGGAGGAGGGAAGCGGTGCTGGGCCCTTTCCACAACTGGGTCTCCCTCGGGGCAGGTTCCCGGGGTCGCGGGCGAGGAAGCCATAGGGGCCCACGCTGTCGACGGGCACCTGGTGGAAGCTGTAGGCGGGGTCAGGGGGAGCTGTCTCAGAATAGTTGCACATGATGGTTTTCAAGTCAGATTCCCGGTCGTCCCCTTTCCTCTCCACCTCGGCCGGGGACGTGGCCTTGGCCGGGTCGCAGTCCACGGCGCGCGCCCGCAGCCTCTCCACGTGGTGCATGTGCATGTCCACCAGGAAATCCAGCTTCCTCCCCATGTCGTGAACCTGCAAAACACACGGAAGCGGGAGTCACTGCTGCCTCGGGGCGGGTGCTTGTCAACGGTCGGGAGGGAGGGAATGTGACAGCATTTCCTGCACAGGATGGAAGAGGGTTCCTACAGGTCCTGACACTAACAGCCATTATTCCACGCCTCCCGATGTCACGCCCTGCACAGGTACCGGTGCAGATCCAGAAATTACTGAGGCAGCCTAGGCGAAGGCTGGATGCAGAGAGAGTGGCTCGCGGACACGCACTCCCGGGAGGAGACCGAGCCGCCGGCTGTGCGGGTTAGGAGCGGGAGTCCCCGATTTGCAAGCGTTCCCGCAGAAGAAGCACGTGGACTTAGTGCTGGCTGCTCCTGTGAGGGTGTAAGCCCCTAAGGAGTGGGGCGGGGTGAGCAAGGACTGAGCTTTGCAGAACTGGAGACCGGCCCGGGGGCCTGGGGGGCCAGTGGGAGCTGCAGAGATAAGCTGTGTCTGCTCCTACCTCCCAGGCTGAGAATTTATTTAATCTCTGTGAGTGCATATGCAAGTGTGCATGTGTGCATGCATGCATGTGTGTGCACACGTGTGTGTGTGGGTACGTGAGACCTTCTCTCCCCGACAAGTCGTACTCACCGGCAGGCACTGTGCAGGTGTATCGGCCCCTCTCACAGATGAGGACAGGCCTTAATGGTAACTAACGCTTATGTGGCTGGCAGGCAGTATCTGAGTCTGCTTTACGTACGTTAAAGATATCATCTCATTCAATTTTTCACAACAGCCCTATGAAGTGAATACTAATGTCATCTGTTTTGCAGGCGAGGAAACAGAGGCACTAACTTGCCAAAAGTCAGAGCTGGTAAATGGAAGAGCTGAGAGTTTTCAAAATATAAATTAAAATTTTTAAATGAAAAAAGACATTCTTGGTAGGCCAAAAGAGAAGAACCACTGAACTTTTCTCTCGCCTCTCCTGCACCGATCCAATTTTGAGTCATGAGTAAGACAAAAGGAAGGCCAGAGATCTCAATGGGACTCGACAGTGCCACTTATCCAGGGCAACGTTCCGCACACTCAGCTAAAGGACCCAGGGACCGGGGGACAGGAACTCACACTGCTTAAGGGAGCACCGTGAAGCGCATAAGACCGGTCCCTGCCATCTGCTGCCTGCCTACTTCTACTCGAGGTGATTTACCTGTATCAACCCACTGACTTTTCACAGCAACCACATGAAATATGAAAACCCCCATTTTACAGATGAGGATACTGAGGCTCAGGAGAATTCATTCGTGTGCATGTGAGCACCCAGCCAGTAGGCGTGGAATCAGGGACTGAATTTCCACATCCTTTTGGGAATGCTGGATACACACGTTTTTGACCTGGGGGGGGGGGGGCGGGGACATCTGGAAATGTGTTTTATGAACTGTTATTTTCAGTGAGGGGAAAGAAAGACCTACCTGTCTTTCGACTTTCACAAACTTCCCCATCATGCTTTGGTCTTCGATTTCTGATGTGGATGCCCTGGCTACATACGGTTCGTTCCTGGGAAAGAGCCAACAAGTCTGTGAGGTCGTTCTATCTGCTTCTGCTTTGCAAGGTCGTTTTAGCTCGGCAGGCGTGGTCCCCAGGGCCACTATTCCCCGCTCACCCCTGCACAGACTGAAAGAGGCCGCTGGGTCCCGGAGGCACACGAGCTGGGAAGGTGAGCAACGCACCCAACTGTGCCGAGCGCGCGGGCTCCTTGAAATGACATTCTTTGGGCTTCAGTCCGACTACCAGCTGAGACCCCCCACCAGAGTGTGCGTGGCAGGGCTCTGTCCGGGGACGAGAATCCACCAGTCATGGGGACGATGCGGGAAGAGCCAGAACAGCAGACCAGGAAGGGCTTGGGCTCTGCTACTATGAAGCATTCTTTTGGCTCCAATCAAAGCCATAAATAGCCTCTTATTTTATAAAAAAGAAACATTGTTTTCATTTTCAATAACCATAAAAAATGTGTCACCCACATGGGTTGGGTGGAGAGGCGAGTCCCTGCACAGAAACCTTTCAGATGTTCACAACTCAGAACAGCCTTGGAAGTCTTTCTCTCTGTTCTGTTTGGGGGACTGGCAACCTCACCCAACTGTAAGGGAATCATTCAAATTTAGGGGCGGACACGCTCCGCAGCCTCGGTCAGTGTCCACAGACCCACCTGGGAGACTGCTGGGATGGGTAGGTGAACGCGGCCCCTTTCTGAGACTTCTTATGCTTTGGCGTAGATGGAGGTCCAGGGGTGAAAATCATGTCTATTCTGGAAGAGAACGTACAATGAGGAGGATGAAACGACAAAGAACTTTGCATGTACAGAAAGGAAAACAATCCATTCTCATCCCTCTTTAGTGCGGTGTGGGTTTGGAAAATATAGGATTAAAGGGAAAAGTGAGAGAGGGAGAGGGAGAGAAAGAAAGAGAAACACAGACAGAGAGAAAGAAAAAGAGAATTTATCATCTCAATATATTATCTTTTGGGGGGGTCTGTTAGTGCCAACGGCATCACCCCATCCCAGGGAAGAGAGAGGCAGCCAAACCATGGACAGGTTGAGGGTGGCGTCTCCTTGTTTCTCACAGGAAACATCATGTGTGCTGAAGCCTGGCTTGTCTTCCAGCTCGTCTGGTCAGTCCGTTTGTCCTGCTCAACCCTAGGCTCTGTTCTTACCTCTTCGGATCTGTGGCTTGCAGGCGTCTGTGGCCATCAGGGGCTTGGATCAGACACCAGCTCCCCGCCTGTGCAGCTCCGAACACAACAGGAGACAAATGTCCCCATCGAACTGCAGAACCGAGCAGGGATGGGGTTCGGGAGCAGCCTTGAAGGCTCACCGCAGGCACAGGACCCCGAGACCGTGCACCCAGGGGTAGCTGTGGGTCATTCGGTCTCTGCAAGCCCAGCCATTCCTCCACTGACACCACCATGAACTAGATCGCCCTTCCTTTCGGTCTGGCCTGCTCTGCCGTCAATGTAGCTGGGGACATGCAATTAGTCATCCAGGCCGTCAGCCCTGACTCATGGAAACACATTTGCCAGATAAAGATCCAAACGATGACAGTGGGAAGGTTCCTTCTGCATTCAGATGGGCTGATATTTTGGAGTCAGGTAAGTTCTGGTCTCTCCGAGCTGTATTTGCCTAAGTAACAGCATGTTAGGCTCAGAGCGTATTCACACAGCCATTGGCTGAGCAGGCTCTGAGTATAGACTGTGTGGCTGCCACTACGCTAGGTGGTCACAGCCGATATTCCAGGTACAGATAAAGCAAGGTCACAAAGAAGCATTCCTCCAACCCAACAACATGGCTAACTTCCAACTCATTGAACGTGATGGGTCCTTCTAACTGTGCAGGACACCCCACTGGGAAAATATCATTCAGATGAGGAGACCGAGGTCCAGAGAGGACCTGACGCATGTCCATTTGAAGTGGACATGAGTCAGAGAATGAGCTTCAAATAGGACTTGGGTTTACAGGTGTCAGTTCGATGACTCCTGACGGCACAGTTTCCTTCATTTTTTAAGGGTTTTCCTTTTTTTAAACCAATGTAAAGATTCGTTAAAGGTTCAATATATCTAAAAATAGAAATACAAAATCACACATGGACGCATCGTGTAGTGGACAGCCACTGAGGTCCTGGGGGGCAGCCTGCTACTTTTCTCCAGGCCCCGATGGGAGAGCGCATGTGCTGTGTGCATTCCTGTGTGAATGTCTGTACGTATGTTCTTGTGATCACATTGTACGTATCAGTTAATACTCGCACAAGATCTAAGCAGAGTATATATCTTTTATATATATATAAAATCATATATCTAAATGTGAATATACTCATACATGTACATATGTCTAAGTGTGTATATCTATGTCTAAGTGTGTATTAGTAACATGGGTATATTCACAGGTCATATGCATCTTTCACCTCATCCTATATATTCTGAAAATGTCATCTGATGGCTGCATAACTGGAATGAGGGCAGCTACCATTCTTCCCTTGATCACTGTTTGACAGTGGCGGCGGGGCGGCTGTTAGAGAGACCGGAGCTTTGTAACCAGGCAGTCCGGACTGAACTTCCCAGCTCTGCCACCTGCTAGCTGGCTAAGTCTGGGTAAGTCCTTTGCCCTCTGAGCTTCGGTTTTCTCGTTGGCAAAATGGCACATGGAACGCACTACCTTGTGGGTTATAAGGGGTGAGACATGTATGAGCAGAGCCCCCAGCTGGTCAACAAAAACGGTGGCAGTTGGGCATTGATGCAGTTTCCATCTTTCTGATATCATAAATAACACCCGACGCCCATTTTTTTTTTTTTAATACGATGAAACATTTTATATTTAGAATTAGCCAGCTGGACTCAGTTTAGATGATTCCAATTTTGTTGGCAACATTCAAAGCCTCCCAGTCAGGGGCCAGTCAGACATATGCTTTCTTGCCATGAGGCCTGATCAGGGTGTTGACCTTGGCCATGTCAATGTCACGGCGCTTCCTCCCAGCCTGTGTGATCTGGAGCTGGCTGGCTCTGACACCCACAATGTTGGATGTTCCCAGAATGTTGTTCTTAAAATTTCTCCCTGCTCTTGGGATTGTTTCTGAAGGCCTCTCGCCCTCTGCTCTCAGGTTCACGGGGCTTTGACTCCTCAGTGCTCAGGAGAGCACGGTCCTTCCAGAGGCGACTCTTACCTGGCCTGCAGGTACTTGATCCTGGAAAGCATGTCAAGATGTCCCGCGGAATACTGCTCGATCACATCCTTCACGTCGTAAGGCCTCAAAGTCTCCTTGAATTTTTTTTTATAGAGCCGGAACTGCAAAATTCTGTAAGGTGAAGTAGAGACATCGGTGCGTCATGCATAGAGAAACTGTCACTCGGACTAGCACGCTCGGGGGTGAAGAGCACCAAGGAGAAAAGGGCTGGACGGGGAGAAGTCCCGTTCCTGGTCCCGGTGCCAGCCTTCTGAACCCCACCGAAAGGCTGGTGAGAACCTCTCCTTCCTGACCGCCTGCCTTCGATCGTGGGCGTAGTAAGCAAATCGCAGTAACACTGAGAGCTAACACCGAGTGAGTCTTCATTACAGACACTGAGCTAAGTATCTCATGAGCAATCAGCTAACAGCTCAAACTAGATGGAGACTGGTCCAGACGGCTTCAGCGTCTTCCCAGGGCCACTTGCGAACAAGGTCCAAGCTTTTCTCCAACCCGGATGTGTATGCTGAGGCCCAGGTCCCGCTGCTCGCCATCTCTTGGGCAGCGGACAGCTCTCTTCCTGCGTCGCCTCTTTGCTTCTCTGGCATGCGAGCCCCCAGAAAATAAAAACTAGCTTCTGCTCTCCAAGTCTCCTCAGGCTCTTAGGAAAGGGGGACACCCAGGACTCACAGATGCCAAACCCTCACCTTCATCTTCCTGGGAACCAATAAAGTCACCCCCAGATGGCTAATGCTCTTTGAAAACACCACGCTGTCTGGCCAGTGTGGCTCAGTGGTTGAGCATGGACCCGTGCACCAAGAGGTCGCCGGTTCGATTCCTGGTCAGGACACATGCCCAGGTTGTGGGCCCGATCCCCAGTGAGGGGCATGCAGGAGGCGGCCAATCGATGTTCTCTTTCATCGATGTTTCTATCTCTCTTTCCCTCTCCCTTCCTCTCTCTAAAAAACCGATAAAGAAAAAAAAGAAAAAGAAAACCCCATGCTGAGGTCAGCGATCACTCTCACTGAGACGGCGTCAGCTAACAGCCCTAACCACAGGTCAGCGGCAGGAAACAGCGCCGACTCTGGCCCTCCCACCGAGCACAGGCCTCTTTTATGGTGCATTCGGAACACTCTTTCGGCATATTGGTTAGAGCATCCAAGTGACTTGCCATCCTGTCCAACCTCGTGTCATGTTATACGCCTGCCCTTTGCGTAACTCCGCCTCAGGTAGGTGCCGGCAAAGCACGACTCGCAGGCCGGACCTGGCGCACTGCCTGCTTTTGAAAGTCGAGTGATGTTGGGCCACAGCCGTTCATCTATGGACTGTCTACGGCGCTACAGTCCGAGCGGAACACGTGCGGCAGAGACATGGACCACAAAGCCTAAAACAGTTACTACCTGGCTCTTTACAGAGAAGGTGTGCCCACCTCGAACTACGACATCAATGAAAATGCTAAAGAGGATGGGGCAGAAGCCAGACTGTGGAGCGTCCCAGCAGAGACCTCCCTCCAGGCCGACAGATTCATCCGTGGGTTTTCATCGATTAAGACCCTTCAACCAGGTCCGGAGCCTGGTAGTTGTGTTTCATCCGGCCGTATTTCTGTCGCACTGTCCACGATGGCGTCATGAGGAAGAGGTCAATGGCCTTGCTGAGATCCGCACATTGTAACAATCCTGTTTCCCTGACCCACTGGGCTGGGACCTTGCTCAAAATTTCGTGACTAGTTCTTGGAAAACCGACTCAGTTTCTAGAATCCACTGTCACCATTGTGGACTTCTTATAGGTCCATGCCCTGATCAAAGTTTATTTTAAAAGATAAATTTTATTTTATTTTATTATTTTTTTCCTTTATTGATTTTAGAGAGAGGAAGAAAGAGAGAGAAAGAGATAGAAACATTGATGAAAGAGAACATCAATTGGCCGCCTCCTTCATGCCCCCACGCCCCACTGGGGATCGGGCCCACAACCTGGGCATGTGCCCTGACTGGGAATCGAATCAGCGACCTCTTGGTGCATGGGTCCATGCTCAACAACTGAGCCACACTGGCCAAACTAAATTTTATTTTTTTAAATTGATTTTAGAGAGACAAACAGCAATGTGTTTTTCTACTTATTCATGCATTTATTGATTCTTGTATGTGCCCTGACTGTGTATCAAACCTGCAACCCTGGGGTATTGATATGATGCTCTAACCAAATGAGCTACCCGGCAGAGTCTTCTGATCAAAATTTTCTTTAAGGGGTAGCATATTTTTATTGTCTTATAGAATTGAAAAGTAAAACAGAAATAGCCAGGAGAGATTATAGTCTCGTGTGACAGAGACAAAAAGATCCTATAATTGATTATCGGGTAAAAAGTTCTAATTAAAAAGGCAGAAGAAAGGCTATTTTGAGTAAGAGACCTATCCAGGAAGATAACTCTATTTCAATACACGTCCGTCCCTAACATCCTTTCTAATAAACGGTGGCCAAAGCCAGACAGGAGCATGACACCTGGAATATTGTCAGGAGCCCAGGGGAGTCTCTCTATAAACAGGTGAGTGGGAGTCACCCATGATGACTTGCTGGTGGACAAGTCATTTTTCTTTGGGCAGCGTCCCCCACGGCAGATGGACATACTCTTTGCATCTGCCTCAGGGGTTTTTCGAAGGGTTAACTGTCCACCTTCCCAAAGCCCAGAGCACTCCACAAAGCCATCTGCCGTGGAGGTGAGCTGGGGCCTGGGGAGCCCCACAGGTAGGGAGGTGTAGGTCCTTACCTGACAGCTCGGATGGCAGCCTTCAGGGTGGGGATCATGTCTTCAATGAGGAAGTCATTCCCGTAGTCCCTGTCTTCCGTCATGGGATCGCCTGTCCCGGCATCTGGGAGGGAGACACACTATCAGCGGCAGGCCACAGCACTCGGGGAGGCTCGGGGACCTCATTCAGCCACAGCCGTCCAAGCTCAACCTCTAGGGTCTGTGTTCCCACTTCCAGAGCCCTGCAGCGTCCTCCAGCTGTGGCCCCCTTCAGCCTTCTCAGCATCCCCTCCTATTACCCAGAAGCCGGAGTCAGAGGGGCCTGCGGTTCAGGGCTGCTGCGGGAGGAGCCTTGGAGGGAGGTGACATGAGTTCAGGGTTCCAGAGAGGCCCCTTGGAGGCAGCAAAGGGCACACATGCTGGCATTAGCTCAGATTCTCGATCTTTCAAGTCCTCTTCCTTGTGACCTTGGGGAAGGTCACTCCCCGAGCCCTGCTCATCTTCCCTTCATAAGTGGGAGGGAAACAGAGCGATAGGGCTCCTACACCCTCCAAGGACACTTTCTGACACATCTTCCCACCCCTGGGGGTGCTGAGGCCTCAGGTTGCCAGATCACATGCACCTGGCCCCTCTCCATCCTTCAGGTCGACCTCCATGCCATGCACCCATCGCTGCCACCCTAGGGACCAGGGTGCCAGGTCCCAAAGCTGCCTGACGGGTCTGTGCAGACGGATGTGGTGCTGATGGCCCAGGAGAACAGCTGACGGGGCGCCCCCTGCCCCATGAGTTGTGGGATACATGAGAGGCCTCCAGCCCAGGGACGGAATAGGACAACGTGAGACGCAGGTTCCCAGAGGGCAGGGGGCAGGCTACTTTGCAGACTGGAGAGTGGCTCAGCGGGTGGGGGCGGGGGGCTGGGGAGCCGGAAGCGGGGGCGGGGCAGAAGGCTTACCTTCGGAACTCTGCCAGAAAGCGTAGGCTTTCATGCGGAAGGCGGTGCGGAAACGCTCTTTATTGTTTAAGCCAACAGGCTTTGGCTCTTTAGAAGGGCTTTCTTCTATGGCATCTACATTCAGAGGGGTAAATAGCTTTCCTTTAGTATTGCTACCACGAGGATTAGAAAGGCGAACCCGATCCAAGAGACCCAGCTTTTGGCTACAAAATAAGCAAAAGTGAACAATTTTCCTCCTTGAGTGCAGGCTTTTCGGAACCGCCGGCCCTCTCCATAAAGACTCCTCCGCGCGCAGGACGCGCCCTGGGCCTAACGCTGCGGGCGCTGCGCCTCGGGGCCGGTGCAGACGCAGGCTCCACGGTGCGCGAGCCGGCACCTCGGGCGGGTCCTGCGCTCCTCTGGACTTTGCTTTCCTCCCACGCTCCACTGGAGCCCAAGTGGGAGACGCTAGCTCGCAGGCACACGCGGCAAAGCTTCATTATTCCTGCGCACTCCCATCTCCTGGGCATCAGCGACTTCCTGTGGACCAACTCCGCGGTGCCCAGAAGGCGCCGTGCACAGAAGCCTGATCAAATGGTCCGTGAGCAGAATCAAGTAACATCAATTGCATGAAGCAGGTACCCTAAGCTGGTGTCCGCAGACATCTGCCCATGGATAGAATTTAGGGGGCGTCCATGAGCTTGGATGAGAAAACACGGCTCCTTTGATTTATTAACATATAACTGAAAGGCAGCCCGTCTTTCTATTGCCTGTGTTGGTAACAAGCCCGTGGTATCCCGACTGCCCCAGTCACACCCTGTGACTTCCCACGACAGAAACCACAGGTCATTTTATTTATTTATTTATTTTATCCTCACCCGAGGACATTTTTCCATTTTTTGTTCAGGTAGAGTGGGAGGGAGAGAGAGGAACAGAGAGAGAGAGAGAAACATCGATGTGAAAGGAACACATCGAGTGGCTGCCACCCGCACAACCGACCAGGGCCGGGGACAAACTGCAACCGAGGTACATGCCCTAAGCGGGAACTGAACCGGGGTCTCTCAGGACCGCAGGCCGATGCTCTAACCGCTGAGCCAAACCGGCCAGGGCTCACAGGTCATTTTATATCCTGTTCTCTCCAGAGACTGAGGCACTTGTCACAGCTTCAAAGTCAAGCTAGTGTTCCATCTGCCACCAGGCGGTCGTCAGATTGGTCACAGAGAAGCACATCTCAAATGTTTCAATACTCTGGCGATTATGTTTCAATTCAGCGTTGACCCTTGAACAACAAGGGTTCTGATTGTTCATAACAACAAGTTAGAAGGTAGTTTGAAAAATACAGGTGACTACTAGAATTACTGTGGTGATCACATTGTAAGGTATATAAATGTTGGATCACTATATGGTACATATACAACTAATGTATAGCAACAATACTTAAACAAGTTCAAGGGTCAGGTTCACTTACAGTGGATTTTTAAGAATAAATATACAGTTGGCCTTCTGTACCCCCCGTTTCACATCCACGGATACAACCAGCTGAGGAGCAAAGCAGTATTTCTGACCGGCACCTGGGAACCCATGGATACGGTGGGACAACTCTGTGCATGGCTCTTTGCCATTTTATGTAAGGGACTTGGCCACGCGTGGATTTTGGCATCTGCGGGGTTCCTGGAATGAATTCCTGTGGATGCCAGGGACTGCGGTTACATTTTGGGGGAGTCAAAATGTATATGTGGATTTTTGACTATGGGGCTCAGCACCCCATCCCTCGTATTATTCAAGGGTTGACTGTAATGTTTCTTTTATAACCGTATGCATTTTATGTATGGATTCAAATTTGTTATTCTGAGAAAGAATCCCTGGACTTCATCCTACTGCCCAAAGTGTTCTCGGTGCAAAAAAACAGTTAATAAATCCAACATAAAGTTGCCCAGGTGCCCCTTGACTTGAAGTCCAACTCTACCCTTCACCATCTGTGTGACCTTGGGCACATCCATGAGCCCCAGTTACAACATCTCTAAAATAGGGAGAAGCATTCCCACAGTCCTTTCTGTGGGGTACACACCAGAGAGAAGCCACACTGAATGTGTCCACACATCAATGTACTCAGCTCAGCGCTTCCGCTCCTTCACCACAGGGGGCCGGACGCACAGTAGGTGAGCCAGGCACTCCCGGAATGAATGCATGAGTGATGAATGCGGGCTGTCGATTCAGCTCTGCATCGGACTGAGACGACAGAGTATTTTGAAAGAGTGTGTCTGGTTATGACAGCCATGTGCTTGGCACCGAAGCTGCTGACATCTTTGCGGTGTGGTGTGGCGTGGTGAGGGGGTCGTTGGTGTTGGGGCTGCAGAGAAGGCTGTCCCCCCCCTCCCTGCCAAGCAAGCAGGGGCCCTGTGTTCTCTGAGCACCAGGTCCTCTGGATTAGAGTCTCACAACACCTGCTTTCTAGAGGTCTAGGGAGCATTACACATCGTGGGGTCTGTCACGTTTCTCGCCTGCAGCCTGGTCCCGAGAACACACGGATGAATGAGTGAGCACACGGTGAGCCTGCTCTTCCCTCTCCCCCAGCCCTGTTACGCTAACACTCTGCCTGGGGTCAGTTCAGAGAAACTCCAGGACTCAGAGCTCCATCTCCCGACCCGAAGTCCATTTTCTAACCTGCTTTCCTCACCGGAACTGGATGAATGACCAACAGGACAGAGAATGACATGTCAGGGCCCGTGGGCTGAAAACACTGGACAAGACAGGAAATCGGCTGGACACACAGGGAGGACTTCCCACTATTATACGTAAAAGGGGACCGCTAGACCAGTCATCTCTCAGGCCCGTTCTTCTCGGCCCCTGCCTACGTGTGGAGGGTCTGTCCCTCTATGCACACCAAGCCCCTCACCGTCCCCAAGTCTCCTGCACGGCTGGGTCCACACCGGTCCTACAGCTTGTCATGCCTTCCTTGCCTGCTCAGCTGACCTCATTCCCATCTGCTCTTTAACACTCCCTGAGTGCCCCCCTCAGAAATGACGTGCCCACCTCTGCTCCAAAGGCACACTGTTCTCTCTGTCCCAGAGTGTAACGTACTGAGAGGAGAGGATGCGTTTCCACGTCTGCCCGCCCCACTGGACTGCGTGGACTGCGCAGCCCGGGCGAAGCGGAGACTCTGCCTGGCTAGCTCCATCCCTGGCATATCACAGTGGGAGGGGCAGTGGCAAAAATCCTGGGCTCTGGGGCAACAGCAGCCTGGGAGGGAATGTCCTGAGAAGGACCTGCCCCAGAACACTGGACTTCTCTCTGGTTCCCGCGTCCTCTCATGCACAGTGATGCCCAGAGCCCTCGCTGCTCGTGGGTGATGACGGGTTAAGTGAGAAAGACGCAGATCTGAGCCTCTGCCCGGGCTGCCAGAAGCCCTCACGAAATGCTGGTTGGCAGCATCATCTCAGTAAATAATCCTCTGCCCACATCAGCAGCAGAAGGCTAATGATGTGTGAAAAGGACCATGAAAAAGTCGGATTTTGTTGTTTTTTTAAATGAACTGAAATGAGTTCTTGGGGTGTATGTATTATACTCCTTTTATTTATTTTTTATTTTTCTATTACAACTGGCATCCAATATTATTTTACAGTACTTCTTCACGCTAGTCTCAAACACTCCGCGTGGCCACTGAACTTGACCTCGGCAGGAGACAAGTAGATGAAGACTTAATTCCAGATAAACTAAGACGACGAAATAACGGCAGCCGCTCGGTCCTGCCGTGAGATGGGGCGGATGTGCCGACTATGGGAAAGCTAACTTGGAGTTCGCCTGTTTGCCTTTCAATGGTTCGCGGCAACCTTAGCAGTCGGATGGCTGTGGCCATGCCCACGTGACGCCCCAGCAGGCACAGGATGGCTGACAAGAGATGGATTCCATCAGCGCTAGGAATCCGGATGCGACAGGCAGAAGTCAGGAAGCTCAGCTCTGAACCCTCCCAGCCATTGCATGCAAGCGGCTGGCGGAATTCTCCCTCCAGCAAAGCGGTGATCAGCTTACTTCTTAACTATGTTGCCTGAAATCGGAAACCCCAAAGGACAATCAAGTGCAAGGCAACGCGACACCCTGGAAATCAAGACCCATCTCTGCCTGTCTCAGCACGGAGTTCCAATGCGCCACTCATGCCGTGGCTGGGACAAGCTGCCGTGGCTGGGACAAGCTGCCGTGGCTGGGACAAGCTGCAGGCTGGCAGGCAAAGCTCCTTCTTGGAGCTGACATCCCATCTCCTTGGAAAGCTGGGCTCCCTGATCGGGTAAGTACAGACAGACGGTTTTGAGACAGGAACTGGGAAAACTGGAACACAGTGGAGGGGGATGGAGAAGTAAAGTCAAGGCTGCCCTGTCCTGGCAGATGGAGCCCTTGTCCTGGCCTCCTGCCTCAGATCTCAGCCCCAGGGAAGTGCAGCCACAGCTCTGGGCAGTTCCTGACTTCAGACCTCCGGACCTTTGCACATGCTGTGACCCGTACCTAGGAAAACCTTCAACCTTTCTTTCAACTAAACGACTCTGACTTTTTATCTGGAAGTGTGGCCAGACTTAATGGAAGTGTTATGAAGCTCACCGTCGCCCCCACTCCCACTCCCCAGAGCCAATCTATGTTACCCAGCACATGTAGCCTGTATTTAGATCCTTCTCAGAAACTTCTGTGTCTAATTTTTTAAAAATATTTTTTCTTTATTGACTTATTTTTAGAGAGAGAGGAAGGGAGAGGGAGAGAGAGACGGAAACGTCGATGAGAGAGAACATCGACTGGCTGCCTCCTGCATGCCCACCACTGGGGTTCGGGCCCATAACCTGAGCATGGCCCTCACTGGGAATTGAACCAGTGACCTTTTGGTGCATGGGTCAATGCTAACCACTGAGCCACACCGGCCAGGCAGTGTGTCTATTTTTTTAATTGGTTCATAATTCAGAGAGGCTGGGGTGCTACAGATCGGCACTCCCCAAGTTCCAGAAGGGAAAGTGAGACTGAGCCCTTAGGACATGTCGGGAATCACTCTGAGGTCAAACAAAGCTGGTCCTAGTCTCATCTCGGCATCTCGGTCACTCGCGGCCTGGCGCCTGTGTTGCAGGGTCTGGATGGCAGAAAATACCAATAGTAGTGGGACTGGGTCCAAGGCTCTTATTTTGCTCTGGGTAATAATTTTCTCGTCAGTAAAATGAGGGGCTTGGCTTAACTGAGCTTTCCATTCCTCCACACCTTGAAGAGTCCTTGCTTCCAGGGCTCGGAAGGAGATTTACTGCCAACATCATTCATCACCCCGTGAGATGAATTTCCTGTGGCTGATGTCACAGGGAGACGGCAGAGTGTGAATCACAGCGTCTAACCCGATGCTCCTCCGTCCACAGCGTGGCCTGGCTCTGAGCCTTTCCCTGCCTCCACCGCCCCTCTCGGGGCCGGACTCCAGCTACATGGCCAAGGAAAGGCCGAGGAAAACAGGGATTAGGTCAACTCTTCCCAGCAGACATGAGGATCAGCACGGGCTGGGCCATGAACTGCAAAGACAGACCAACTGGGTCCAAGTCCTGCTCTTGCTACATTCTTAGCTATATGACCTGGTGCAAGTCACTCGCCTCTTTGAACCTCAGTTTTCTCATCTGTAAAATGGGGATTAAAAAGTTTCTACTGCCTGGCTGGTGTGGCTCAGTGGATTGAGCATCATCCCATGGACTGAGAGGTCCTGGTTTGACTCCTGGTCAGGGCATATGTTGGGGTTTCAGGCTTGATCCTCAGTAGGGGGCATGCAGGAGGCAGCTGATCGATGTTCCTCTCTCATATCGATGTTTCTATCTCTCTCTCCCTTCCTCTCTCTCTTAAAAAAATCAATAAAAACATATTTTTAAAAAACGTTTCTACTCATGGGCTCGCTGTGAGGGCTAGACGTGCTTAGAATTGTACCTGGCAAGCAGTAAGCCTTTTTTATAAATGATTGTTATGATACCTGAATTCTCTGCTGCAAACAATCATCGTCTGCTAACTCTGACAGCTCTGCAATGAGAAGGACAGAACACATGACAGGAGATAAAGAAGTTGCCTGGAACACATGTCCCCCCTCTCCAAAGAGGGGTGCAGAGACCAGCCCTGCAGGCTGCTGTTCAGACTGAATTGCTTGGAATTACAAAGAGAACAACTGGGCTCAAGCAAACAGTTATTGTCAACCGGTACCTGTTTTGAATATTCAAAAAACGCTAGTTTCTATCAAACAAATGCCCCTAATCATCAGCAGCGCTGCACGTGTAATGAATAGCAATAACTGATGTTTAAGACGATGTCCCTCACACGACATACCAGTCTGTTGTGGTGTCCTCTAGAACGAACCAGGCTCGGTGCGCTTTATTGTTGATGTCGTGCAATGAAATGTCACTTTTAGGGATTGGAGAATGTATGGGTTAGACCTGATGCCTGTTATAGGGAACTATGATTTTTGTCCATCCCTTGGGAATTTCTGAACTGGAGCTGGGTGAAGACAAAGAAGAAGAGTTATGGTCTGGGGGCTGCCTGCATTCACCCTTTATCAGGATGGCAAAGGTCAGGCGAACAAGTGAGACTAAGAAGGAACGCAGAAACAAGAGAGCAGAGAAATCCCAGAAGGCCCCAGTCCTCTTTCCCAGGGGTTCCCATCGTGTCTGATGGGTGACCATTGGACCGTGACATTTTCCTCCTAGTCCAAGGCCATTTAAGTTGGGTTTATGACACTCTTAGAATAAAGAGTTTGTCCATCCATCATCCATCCACCCACCCACTTTTTCAGTAAGCCTCAAAATGCATCCGCCCGGGCCTTCATTACTCGTGCACATGCCCAGTCGGACTGAATTCTGTTCATGTCTGTACAGGAAGGTCTCTAAAGGTAGACTTGGCAACTTGCAGTATGAACTCCTGTGTGATTTAAAACCTTGTTGGTCATGAGAGCAGGGGAAAGAGCATCCTGTGGGAGTCCTGAGACCTGGATTGTGTAACCCCTGGAGCTCATGGCTCTGTAGCCTGGGGCAAGCCTGCCCTCCTGGGGGGGCTTACTTTGCCCTCCTGGGGGGGCTTACTTTCTGTAATAGCACCTAGAAGAGGATCTCTGTGGTGTCTCCCCACTCCCTCTGTGAGCCACGAGCTGCTGAAGGGTCCCTAGCAGATGTCCCTTGACACCATCAAGGTCAATCCTCCAGTCCTCCTTGACAATCTCCCCAGCGCCCCCTACAGCCCAAACTGGGTCCAGGAAAGAAACACTCGTCTCTGAAAACAGGCACAACGAAGGCTGAACGGCCGAGCTGTTTCTGCGTGGTTCACCAGTGCTGCTGGCCACGGGTTCTTCAACGTGGGCTTACGGAGGGGAAGGAGCACCAGGGACCCTGTTCAAAAGGACTTCACCACTGTCCTCAAGTGGTTCCCTACAAATTGGTCCAGGGTCCTGCAGTTGAGCTCAACGTCCAGGAGACGGACTCCAAGCTCCCCGAAATGGTTGGTCCACAATAACAGATCAAACATATATTTAAACTGATGTTTGCAAGAGATGGTCTTTTTTTACAGCCTCGAGCAGGTCTACAGTCTCCTGGTTTGTGGTATCTCCCTGAGAAGGAGTGAGGGACAGAGAAGCACTCGTAACCCAGAACTCAACCTGTAGTGAGCGTGCTTTACTGGGGAACCTGCCACAGTTGTGGGGATCACGAAGTATAGCCTTGACTCACTTTTTAAAGAATCATATGTGAGCTCAAGAAGCAAATGAAGGATATATAATGAATTTCATGGTAATACTCAGACCTCCTGAGTTTGGATTTGGTCTTGCCACTCAGCTGACCCAGGGGGAATAATAACTCCATCTCCCTGAGCCCCAACCCCTTCTATCAAAAAACGAGAATATGAGGACCCAGAGGGGTTGGGAGGACCAAACGAGATAACGTATGCTGAACTCCAGGCTCAGAATCCAGCCCCAGGGAGAAACTCAGTCAGTAGCTATGGCTATGGTCACTATGAAGGTGTCCCTGAGTAAATGAACACGAAGATGAGGCAGGGAACAGTGGCCCCAAAACTCTATCTGTGACCAGCATGGCCACCCAGGGGCCCTACCCCATCCAGAACTGGACCCTCCGTCCCGACACAGTGGTGGGAGAAAAGAAATTCATAATCAGAAACGTACCTGGCTGCTGCCTCCAGGTGTTCTTTCCTATAAGGAGATGAGGGAGAGAAAAAAACAGAGCATAAATTATGTGGAACCCCCTCCCCAACATCTGCCCCAAAGCTCCCCTTTGATGACGACAGAGGAAGAGAGCAGAAGTCTAGGACAGGAGGAACTTTCACGGTATGTGAAATTCTCTTACGGTACGTGAAAGAGATCTCAATAAAGTTATTTTTTTTAAAGAGCATAAATAAAAAAACCACAGGAAGCAGGTGAGGACACACCAGTGTATTACCAGCTACTTCTTTGCCATTAGACATGTGGCATGAGCTGGAATTAAGGGACATTCTTTTTCAAGGAGCCTGCCTCCTTTCTGATTGGTTGCTAAGTGAATCTCTCTAATGACTTTACACTTTTGTCCTTGAAAAAGAAAGAATGTTCTCTCTTAGTTTCCAAGACAAGACATTCTTCTATCACAGCAGCTATCTGCAGCACAATGGATCCTCCAAGGCTCTGACAGCTAGGACAATACCTTGTTTATAATAAGACAATCCGAAAGAATGGGCCTATTGCCAAGACCTTGGGATGCACAGCAAATGGAAATCATCTTGGTGCTGTGTTCAGTGCAGTCCAACAGGCTGTTTTTGAGTTCAAGGTCACTCTGTACTCTTAGAGGGAAGCGGCCTGCCCAGTCTAAGAAGACCCTTGCTATCCAAAAGAAGACGGATTCGATGCAAAACCTTAAATAATTATAGCAATGATAGAATCTTGGGACCAAAAGGAAACACAGGTCATATTCTGAACACAGAAGTCTAATCACCAGTAAGAAGACACAGTGAGCAAACCCAAACTTAACCACTCACTTAACAAAGCCTGGTTTCTGCTCATCTTCTCTCTTCCACAAGTCATCACGCCTTGAGGTATTTCCCCCTTTGCATTTCCCTCTCCGGACCGACATCTCCCTGCCCCTTCGTCCTGCTTCACCTTGGTCTAGGTCCTCACCTCCTCTTACCCGGCAGCCATCTGCCAGCTGATCTCGCCTAGAATCTTGCGCCTGTCCAGTCCATCCCCACACTCCTGTCCTGTCCATCCCCACACTCCTGTCCTGTCCATCCCCACACTCCTGTCCCGTCCATCCCCACACTCCTGCCCTGTCCATCCCCACACTCCTGCCCTGTCCATCCCCACACTCCTGCCCTGTCCATCCCCACGCTCCTGCCCTGTCCATCCCCACGCTCCTGCCCTGTCCATCCCCACACTCCTGTCCACCCCCACACTCCTGCCCTGTCCATCCCCACACTCCTGCCCTGTCCATCCCCACACTCCTGCCCCGTCCATCCCCACACTCCTGCCCCGTCCATCCCCACACTCCTGCCCCGTCCATCCCCACACTCCTGCCCCGTCCATCCCCACACTCCTGCCCTGTCCATCCCCACACTCCTGCCCTGTCCATCCCCACGCTCCTGCCCTGTCCATCCCCACGCTCCTGCCCTGTCCATCCCCACGCTCCAGTCCTGTCCATCCCCACGCTCCAGTCCTGTCCATCCCCACGCTCCAGTCCTGTCCATCCCCACGCTCCAGTCCTGTCCATCCCCACGCTCCAGTCCTGTCCATCCCCACGCTCCTGTCCTGTCCATCCCCACGCTCCTGTCCTGTCCATCCCCACACTCCTGTCCATCCCCACACTCCTGTCCTGTCCATCCCCACACTCCTGTCCACCCCCACACTTTTGTCCTGTCCATCCCCACACTCCTGTCCTGTCCATCCCCACACTCCTGTCCTGTCCACCCCCACACTCCTGTCCTGTCCACCCCCACACTCCAGTCCTGTCCACCCCCACGCTCCAGTCCTGTCCATCCCCACGCTCCTGTCCTGTCCATCCCCACGCTCCTGTCCTGTCCATCCCCACGCTCCTGCCCTGTCCATCCCCACGCTCCTGCCCTGTCCATCCCCACGCTCCTGCCCTGTCCATCCCCACACTCCTGTCCACCCCTACACTCCTGTCCTGTCCATCCCCACACTCCTGTCCACCCCCACACTCCTGCCCTGTCCATCCCCACACTCCTGCCCTGTCCATCCCCACACTCCTGCCCTGTCCATCCCCACACTCCAGTCCTGTCCACCCCCACACTCCTGCCCTGTCCACCCCCACACTCCTGCCCTGTCCATCCCCACACTCCTGCCCTGTCCATCCCCACACTCCTGCCCTGTCCATCCCCACACTCCAGTCCTGTCCACCCCCACACTCCCGTCCTGTCAATCCCCACACTCCTGCCCTGTCCATCCCCATACTCCTGTCCACCCCCACACTCCTGTCCTGTCCATCCCCACACTCCTGTCCACCCCCACACTCCTGTCCTGTCCATCCCCACACTCTTGTCCTGTCCATCCCCACACTCCTGTCCATCCCCACACTCCTGTCCTGTCCATCCCCACACTCCTGTCCACCCCCACACTCCAGTCCTGTCCACCCCCACACTCCCGTCCTGTCAATCCCCACACTCCTGTCCTGTCCACCCCCACACTCCTGTCCTGTCCATCCCCACACTCCTGTCCACCCCCACACTCCTGTCCTGTCCATCCCCACGCTCCTGTCCTGTCCATCCCCACACTCCTGTCCTGTCCATCCCCACACTCCTGTCCACCCCCACACTCCTGTCCTGTCCACCCCCACACTCCTGTCCTGTCCATCCCCACACTCCTGTCCACCCCCACACTCCTGTCCTGTCCATCCCCACGCTCCTGTCCTGTCCATCCCCACACTCCTGTCCTGTCCATCCCCACACTCCTGTCCATCCCCACACTCCTGTCCTGTCCATCCCCACACTCCTGTCCACCCCCACACTCCTGTCCTGTCCATCCCCACACTCCTGTCTTGTCCATCCCCACACTCCTGTCCTGTCCACCCCCACACTCCTGTCCTGTCCATCCCCACACTCCTTTCTACCATTGTCCTGAAACACGGATTTGGTCATGTCATTCTGTGGTCACATGGCTTCTCTCTGCCTTCAGATCAAGGTTAGATTCCTTCACAAGTCACCGGGGACCTTCCATGGTCTGGCCCAGTGCTTAGCACATACAAAGGGGTCAGTACTGGTGGACTGGATGCCCTGAACAGAGAGTCCGACGGAAGGGGAGGTGGGAGAAGGCCATGTCGACCTTGGTCATTTTGGGTCTTATTCTCTTTGTCGCGTCATCCACGGGGAGGTTTTATGCAGGGGAAGGAGTCAACAGAATCCAGATCTGTTGGGTTTCCTTAAATCTCGACCACAACCTGGTGATGGGGCTGGAGGGGTAACTAAGGTCAAGTTCGGTGACTGGTCTCTGGTCCCGAAATGAGTGTGAGGGAGGGTGGGATGAGCATGGCAGGAGCCACCTGCCCAGTACTCGGTCACGCTGCGGTCCATGAATCCAAAGGCGCATGGCAGAGACACGCTTTAGAGCAGGTCCCAGCTCCAGCCGCGAAACCGCGGGTCCCTGTACTTTCCCTCCTAACAAGAACTGAAGCTTGAATCCTGCATTCTATCCGCACGCTCACAAGTCTGAGCTCAGGATCGGAGCGTCAGAGCCGGGGAGGACCAGCCAGTCTCAGTGGCCCAACAGAGAAAAACCACGGGCTTGGGGGCCTCTAGGTGAGGGACACTGGCCGAACTGTCCCAGCGCCCTCATCTGTGGGAGGTGCCGAGTGACACCCACCTGCAGCCTGTCTCCAAGTGTGCACCAGGGCCACTGTGCCAAAAGCACCCGGGGACCTCGCCCACACCAACGCCATCTGTATTCCCACAACCCCCCACTTCGATATGAATGCACCTTCCCCTTGGGAACCCCTGACCTACTCTGCAGGGGGCCTGTGAGGACTGAATGAGATCTGAACTTGGAGACCTTCTGACCCTTTCCTGGGTGCTGGACAAGGAGAGGGGTTTCTATTGTTTCCTTTCCTTTCATCTCCCCTTCTGAGAACAGAAAACGGCATCTCGGGTCCCCAAAAGTCTCCTCTTTTGGCTTCTTCCGCCTGGTGGTCCCCAGCGTCCAGAGTGGCAGCAGGTGCGGGCCATCCGGGCTGGTGGGGACATTCGCTGCTGGGTGGCCCAGAACACTGGTTCCCTACTTCCTCAGCCACTGTTCCTGCTCAAACACTGACGGGACCTTTCCTTACCAGCTACCCCACACCGTCTGGCTGGTAATCCCTGGGGCGGCACCCTGGGTCATCTGGGGCCTCTTTGAAAATAGTGATACGGAGGTCCCCTCCCTGGGGATTTGGATAAGCCAGCCTGGGCACTGGGAGCTTCAAGCTCCCCGCTGAGTCTGATGTGCACCCACAGGCACCAATCAGAGCCCGAGGGGAGGTCGGTCACCCCCCGAGCATTCCAGATGGGCCCCCACTTGCCTGAAGAATGGAAAGGAGACGATTGACTCATAGAACCTCCACGTGGCCACGAGGTCAGCCCTGTTGGGGTTGGTAGCATAGTACCGCCAGGCAGCCTGCGGGCGAGAAGAGACCGGCCTGTGTCACCCGAAACTTTCATGTGGAAGCCCACACCCCTAAACCATGTCCAAGCCCTTGACTCCTAGGATTGAAATGAGCGTTGATGCCACACCCAGAGAAGCTGGGACCTGGCGTTTCTGCAGCTCCTCTGGGGACTGTCCTCGGCCCCGTCCACTAGGAGCTGTAATTGGTGTTGTGGGCACCGGGCTGAGGGGTGAACTGCAGCGGAGGGAGGGGGGAATGCTGAGTGCAAAACCCCCGAGACTCTCAGGGAAGTAGGAAGACAAATATTGTTTTTTGGGTGCAAGAGACAGCTGGAGATGGGGTTTTGATTCTAATATACTAGAACCACACTGGGGTGGTCTGGGGTCTGGGGGATAATGGGCAGACTCGTGAAGACTGGGAATTGTCTGTGCGGCCACCTGCTCGGGACTTGTGTCCCTGTAGTGAGTGTCTCTGTGGGTCTGCTACTAGATGGTCTGTGATGCTATCCTACGCAAGAAATAACAGTGCGTAGGATAGCATCACAGACCATCTATTAGCAGACCCACAGAGACACTCACTATAGGGACACAAGTCCCGAGCAGGTGGCCGCACAGACATCCAGCCCCATGCAGCTGTAGCCAGGACTCTGCTCTCTGCCCCCAACCCCCATGGAGCCGTGAAGCAGGAAGTCCCTCTGAGTGTGAGAGAGCGTGCTTCTGCCTTCGTCACCCCTGCACTACTGTCCCCAACCCCATGGCGGGGGAGGGTGGAGATGGAGAGCTGGCAGGCACCCAAGGCACTGGCGTGACTGTGTAATGGCAGGACGATGGGTGAACTGCTTAACAGTTGGCACACGTAAGGCATCTCCTCCTCTCTTGGCTTATGGGCTCTCCAGCCCTGGCAGAGGTGAGGGGCCACACCTCCTTGTAGCCAACTGGCTCAGCTCCTGGACACTGGGCTGGCTTCCTTGGGGGTCCCCAGGTCCAGACTAGGGTGGGGAGTAGAAAGACCCAACTCTGCACTGCAGAATCATTAACTAAACAGCAGATGGCTTGGTCCCTGTCTGAGTTCTGTGACTATTTCCTGATTGGCTTAGAACCTGAATGCAAGAGTGACAGGACTGTCACTAAGGACCCAGATAACCACAGAAACACCCCAAATCACCCACAAGCAGGCATGGTCCTGGGTCCCATCCTAGACCGGGCATGCCTCCTCTTGTACAAGTACACACAGACACATATGTCCACATGTGCATGTACACCCCCACAATGCATGCACACACATGTCCACACCACACACACATGTACACATACCCTCATATGCATGCACACTCGCACACCACCCATACATGCACACACCCAACATGCACACCCACCCACACATGCATGTACACAACCACACATGCACGCGCACACACCCAACATGCGCACATACACACGCATGCACACATACCCACATATGCATGCCCACACACCCACACATGCATGTACACACACCCACATGTGCACACACCCACACATGTGCACACATGGATCTTAACCCCATCCAGCTCATCTCCAGACAGACAGACCTGAATGAGCTCAGCGGCCGGTTTCCTCCTTTTCTCAAAGTGCTTCTGACGGTGCTGCTCCTGCACCTTGAGCGCCAGCCCAGACCCCAGGATGCCCTGGAGGGAACGGCAGGCTCTGAGTCAGCCCCACAGGACACTCCCGGGGCCCCGCTCCACTCCCAGGACCCCAGTGGCAGCACTAAGTGACAGGGAGAAGGGGAAAGACCCCTCCTTCTCTTGCAGGGAGCAGGTTGCTGGGTGACATAGAGCCTTGAGGTCAGGAAGGTGTGACTCTGCCACCTCGGTGGCACTTTGCCCCTTCTGCCGCTGCGCCGCTTCCTAACCGCCACCGGAGCCCCGAGGCCCCGGGCAGGCCTCGCACCCCTGAGACTCAGCGCCTCCTCGGGGAGGTGGGAGCGGTCCCTGCCCCACTGCTGTGAGAAGGGAGACGGGACAGCACGTGGGAGCTGCCTAGGGAGGGGGCACGGAACCCACGGCCAGGACGCTTGCGTGGAGTCAGCCCGTGGCTGCCTGACAGGCTGCTCGGGACTTGCTGCCACTGGGGTGCCCAGAGCTGTGACGTTTTGTCCCCCAGGTCAGACCTGCGTGCGGACTAAATGGAGGAAAGCACATCCTTTCTCCTTGAGAGAGCCTGTCAGCCCCACAGCCCTCCCGTCACAGCGGAGGAAACTGACCTCCGGAAAGGCCGTGGGCCCGAGGTCAAGCCGCCCAAGGTGGGGCTGCCGTGGAGAAAGAACATCCCAACCTCAGCGCGGGGCTGAGGGCTGGACTGTCACATCAGGAGGTTCCTCTTGGCCTTCAGGGTTAAACGCTAGGCTGTGGGACCCGCAGACCTGGGACCCCTGGTCCACGCACTAAGCCCGTGGAACCTCGGTTCTCTCGCCTGGAAAACGGAGGCAAGCAGAGCACCGAGCCCCTAACGGGGTCACGCAGATGAACGAGACGGTGCAGGGAGAGCACCTGGCATGACTCCAGCACACGGTAGGTTCAACAGGGTCATCTCCTGCCACGTGCATGTGACACTGTGGGCCTGGGCTTGGGGAACTGATTCTATCAGGAGCCGAGACGCGCTCTGGAAGGCAGTGCATTTTCTTCAACAGAAGCAAGCAGGGAGGGAAGGGAGCTGCACATACGAAGGACCTGCTACGTGCAAGAGATACATGATTGTCGTAACGACACACGTGTACATAATTGTAACGGTGGGTACTGGGCTTAGCGGGGCGATCGCTTCGTCAAGTACATAAATGTCTAATCACTATGTGGTACCCCTGAACCTAATGTAATATTGTATGTTGACTGTAATTGGAAATTTATAAAAATGAAATACAATGACCTGGCTGGTTTGGCTCAGTGGTTAGAGAGTTGGCCCGCGGACCAATGAGTTGCGGGTTCTATTCCGGTCAGGGGCATGTACCTTGGTTGTGGCTCGTCCCCGGCCCTGGTCAGGTTGTGCGGGAGGCAACCAGTCGATGTGTCCCTCTCACATCGATGTTTCTCTCTCTCCCTCTCTCTCTCTCTTCTTCTCTCCCCTTCCCTCCCACTCTAGCTGATGATAAATAGGAAAATATCCTCGGGTGAGGATTAAAAAAAAGGAAGAAATCCGTGGGTGAAGAACGTTATGGAAGCCCCCAAGGAGCTCAGTTTCCTGGGGAGGAGATACGGAGCCGTGTATCCCAGCAGGGCCCCCAGACGCCTTTCCAGGGCTTTGCCCGGAGGAGGGTGCCACTGACCCATCTAAAGACGGCAGCGTTGAAACGGGGTCTCGGAGGACTCACTCCTGGCAAAGGGACCAGCACAGCGCCTGGCAGGGTGGGGCACCATACTGGAGGAGGCGCTGCTGAGTGGGTACAGCTGGACTTCGCGGTGGGAAGGGACGGAAGAGGAGGCTGGCTGGTGGAGCGGGGCCGCTGGGCAGGGGTCCTGGGTGTCACGCTGGGATGCCCGGTGCGCACGGAAGGTACTCACCGCTGGCAGCGCAAAGAAGGAGACGCCGATTAAGGAGAAGGTGGCTGCGATCAGACGGCCTTCCCACGTCTTGGGTGTCTTGTCTCCATAGCCAATGGTGGCCAGTGTGATCTGGAGAGAGAAGGTCTCAGACGTGGGGCTCCCCAGGGACAGGGAAACCGGGGGTGTGTCCCTGAGCTCCACCCACCAGCCTCTGTACTGACTGGGGAGGGGCTGCGGCACTTGGAACAAGACCCCCGGGGAGAAAAGCTACCAAGTGTGGAGGCTTTGGGGGCACACTCGTCTCTAAGTTAAGGATTTCCCACCTGTAGTCAATCACTCAGCAAATATTTCAATAACTGCAAACGTGTCTGTGCATGTATGTACATGTGTGTATTTGTGTGTGCGATTTTGTGGGTAGCCGTGTTCCCAAATATGTGTGCTTGTGGGGTATTTACATTGATTGTGTGCATACGTGTGCACACCTGCCGTGTGCTGTGCACTCCCGTGTGTGATGACACGCAGAGGCTGTCCGTGTGCATGGACTTTGGAACACGAAAGGCAGGCTATCCGAGCAGTGAAGTGTGGCTTCTGCAGCCCAACTGCCTGAGTTCAGATCCCACGTCAGTTACCAACGGGCTCAGCGGTCTTCCTGGAATTAGTTCCATAGCTGCTTCATGCCTCAGTTTCCCCCTTTTTTATATATATTTCTCACCCGAGGATATTTTTCTATTTATCTTCAGATAGAGTGGGAGAGGGTGTGGGGGATGTGAGAGAGGCACATCGATTGGTTGTCTCCTGCACAACCCCGACCAGGGCTGGGGACCGAACAGCAATCGAGGTACGTGCCCTTGACCGGAATTGAATGATGTTCCAACCTCTGAGCCAAACTGGCCAGGGCAGTTCCCCCATTTTTATAAAGTCTCATAATAATTGAGTTAAAGCACGTTAATAAAGGTAAAGTGCTTGGAGCAAGGCTCTGGAGCGAAGCAAGCCGGCAGCAGGTGCTCCTCTTGTCACCACGTGTCCCTGCGGGGGTGGGGCCGTCCCCCTCCAGGTGTGTCTGAAGGTCTGCCCCTATGTCTGTCTGCACATGCGTGGCTGGGCTGATGACAGCCGACGACTGGGGTAAGGGCCCTGGTGACCATGGGACCAGACTGTTCCGAGCCCTGAGGTCTTATAAACACGATGGAGAGCCTGTTCGTCCACAGTGCACGGCCTGCGGGGGCGTCTCCCGCAGGCAGGATGGAAACGGACGAGGCCCAGCTCTCGCTGTGGCTGCAGGTGCACGGCCGGGCCCGCCCCACCTCTCTGTGGGTCACCCATCCCCACGAGGCTCCGCAGGGCAGTGACTCACCAGGCCCCACCAAAGGGCGTCTGCGTAGGTCTCAAACTCCTCTTTCATTTCCCCTCCTTGTGCGTCCACCTCCGGCACGTCTTTCTCGACCAGGTAGACGAGAAATGAAGAAAGGATGAGCGTCAGGAAGCCGATGTACCAGGCGGTGATGAGCTCCTGAACAGCGAGCAGAGGACAGGGAGTGGTCACGGGCGCCTGCTGGGCGGACGCTGGAGGCAGACACCCCGGGGCTGGATCGAGCCCAGCTTTACCAGCTCTGTGACCACGGCCACGTCGCTCACCCTCTCTGGTCCTCACCCATCACTGTCCAATGGGGTCAGTGACATGGCCGTGATTTCCACCTGAACACAACGAGCGCACGGCTGTAAGAGGAGGGAAGATTCCCTCGGGGTGACCTCTGTCTCAGCTCGAGAGGCCTTGCCTGGGATGAGACAGCCTGGCCGCTGCCGCTGAGACAAGGCTCAGGACTCAGGAGGCTCAATTCCACGCAGGACTGGGCAGAACGAAGCTCAGTCCTCCTGGGAAACCAACGGTCAGGGGAGAGCGTGTGGCTCCGTGGACAGAGCCGTGGACAGGGCCCCAGCCTGCCACCAAGTGACTGTGTGACCTGGGAAATGACCCCTCCTCCTCAGCCTTAGTTTCCAGTTTTAAAACGAAGGCCTGGACCACAGCGCTGCAGAAAGTGACGTGTGCATTACCGGTGGAATATAATTTTCATGCCAGTCACCTACTGATTGAAACCATACTAAAGATGAGCATGTGTAACACATAAAACCTATTATGTCGCGCATATTGTCACGTGATGGACTAGGACATAAGTAAGTAAAGAAGAGAAAGTTGACTGCAAAAAAAAAAAATAGTTAAGGAATAGGAAGGACGGTGCAGAGATGTGGCCAACATGGGCATCGCTGGAGTTCCACACACTCTGAATGACAACCCTAAGGCTCTATTTCTCTCATTCTACGCCAATGTCAAGGGTTAGCACGGCAGCTTGGGCAGGAAGAAAGTCAAGGGTATTGGTACACGCGATCTGGAGATTAGGCCCATCATCCCTGCTGAGTCATCAGAGAACAGAGTTGTTCACATCAATATGCGTCATGCGTCTGACCGTCTGCAGCCTGTCAGCTGGCTTTTGGGTCACCAGGATCTCGCTGACAGGTGCTTCCTGCCTCCCTCCAGGCCTTTGCTGACACTGGTCTCGCTGAACTGCCCTCCCCCACCTGAGCAACCAGAGCATCATCGTCCTCAGACTCATGTCACCGCCATCATGACGTTTTCCGGGATGTCTGCTCCCCAACTAGAGCTAGGGTTCACTTCTAGTTCCTTTATGCCTTTGCTATTTTCCAAGAGGACTTCTCTAAATGTCCAACATTTCTTTACACCCCTGTGCTCATGGGTCTGGCCTCCCCGGAGTCTCACACGCACAGTGTACACGTCTGAGCTCACTCCACAGCAGAGGGCGGGGCTGGTTTCCATGGTGCACGCGATCCAGCCCCTCCTCCAGTGTCTGCCCTGCAGAGGGTTCGGGAAGGAAAGCACGAATTAGACCACCAACCAGGGCCAGGGACACATTGCAACCGAGGTACGTGCCCTTAGTGGGAACCAATCGACCGCAGGTCGATGCTCTAACCACTGAGCCAAACCAGCCAGGGCTGCCTTGGATGATTAAGAGGTGGCATAATGTTCATTGGTGAGGAGCAGAATTGTGTCCCAATTCTGTGGTCTGCAGTCATTTAAAAGGCTATTCACAATAATAAATAGCAGTGCTATTTACAATAGCTAATATCTGGAAACAGCCCAAGTGCCCATCAGTAGGTGAGTGGATAGAAAAGCTGTGGTACATGTACACAATGGAGTACTATGCAGCTGTAAGAAAGAGCGATCTCTTATCCTTTGAGACGACATGCAGGGACCAGGAGAGTATTATGAGAAGCGAAATAAGCCCGTCAGAGAAAGACAAATACCATGTGATCTCACTTATTTGTGGAACATAGTGAACAAAATAAACTGTGGACCAAAAGAGATCCAGAGACATGGAAGCAGGGAACAGATGGACAAACCTCAGAGGGATGAGGGGTGGGAGGAGAGGGCAGAGATAAACCAAAGAACTTACATGCATATATGCACACTCAATCAACACAGACACTAGGCTGGGGAAGGCAGGAGGGGGTGAGAGTGGGAAGGAGGGGGTCAATGGGGAAAAATGGGGAACATCTGTAATAATCTCGACAATGAAAAATATAAATAAATAAAAATAGAAGGCAATTCAGAGTAACTCTGCCGTCACCCACTTTCCCCCAGAGCCTGGGCAGAGCTGATGTCCAGGGCTCCTGCACATGCCTGAGCCCGAGTCAGGTGGGGGCTGGTGTATGGGGCCTGGCTAATGTGGGCAGTGACGGGCGAAAGTCCTTTCTGCAGGACGCTCCAGGCCCCTCTTCCCTGGCCTTGGGGACTCAGGCTCATTTTCAAGACCGACGGGGGCCGCACAGCCCACCTGACACCATGTGGGAGGAGCCGGCATTTCTGTGCCAGGCTGTGGAGACTGCGGGGCTTCTCGTTCTGGGCACAGAGCCTGTCCTGGCCTGTCCTTAGGAGTCCAACTGCGTGACGTGGGCGCTCATCTCTGATTCCCCTGAGCAACACCCGCCGGAGGGTCCTTGGCTGGATTTCTCCTGCTCCGGCCTCGGAGGTGCGGCCCTCCTTCCTCCTCCAGGGCTCAGCTGGCACAGGGACGTTCAAACGACATGGTATCTAAGGTCTGGGCTACGGGAGCACCAGGGCTCCACGTACAGAACTCCGCCTGCCTCCGTTTCCACACCTGCTCAAGTGCATGGGACTCTGGGAGGGGGTCAGACTAAGTCCCACTGCCTGGCTTCTGATCTCCCGAGAGAGGTGAGCTCCACCAAGACCATCACTGAACCACTGGACTGGGGCCCTGGAACCCCACTGTCTGGTGTGTGCCCCAGGGCGTGACCTTGGGCAGGTTACTTCCTCTTTCTGCATCAGCTCCCTTATCCGTGTGATGAGGAGACAACAGCGCCCCCTTCTGGGGTGAGCTGATCAGTGTTCTAGGCACCAATCAATAGCAACCGAGCCCTCTCCAGGCGGTGGGTGTGGCTGTCACCGGAGGTGAGCTCCTGCTGTTCTCACTTCCTAGTGCAGGGACCAAGACCCAGAGGGTCACAGAAAATCACCCAAATCACACAGTAGAGTTTGGATCCAACCCCGTCTGCATGGTTCTGGAACCTTCTCCCCCACCCCACAGCCCCTTGCATTGGCTCATTTCATCCTCTCAACACCCCAGAGGGAGACGCAGTATGACGCCCGTGTGAGGAACGAGCAAACTGCGGGGCAAACAGGGTCGAGTGACAGGTCGTTTGTGTCTGGTGGAGCTGAGACCTGAGCCCAGGTGGGCCAGCTTCTGCTCACGGGCGGCACACCTGCTCGTGCCCCTCCCCCAGCTCCTCCCCGTCATCGCCGTCAGTGGTGGCAGAATGACGGACGTGGGGGACACCACGCTCGAGGGGCCGCCCACGTGGCCGCGTGGCTTCCCTGCGGCACCTACTTTGCTGTGGGCGCAGATGGCCGAGCCCAGCAGCTTCCAGGTGCCGCCCCGCCGGTCCATCCGCAGCATGCGCAGGATCTGCAGGAAGCGCAGGCTCCGCAGGGACGTGGCCAGGACATTGCCCTGGTTGCCCACGGCGACCACGGGCACAGAGGCGATCAGCACGAAGATGTCTGGGAAAGAGGGCAGACAGAAGGCCAGTGACCGGGGCTGTCACCAGAGGCCCCGCACACGAGCGTGCGCCAAGCACTGCTGTGTTCCACGTGACTCGCCCACATGCGGTAAGTGGGCTTATGGTCCTGTGACAGAGGAGGACACGCGGGATCTAAGGTGTAGCTGAAGCCACTAAGCAGATTTTCCTGGTAAAAGGAGAATCTGCTGGAATGGAGAGGAGGAACAGAATGGCTGAACTCAATCTGGAGAGTCAGAGGAGTTATGGTGCAGGAAACACCTTGAGAGGTAGTGAGCGCCCCGTGACTGGAGGTATGTGAGCAGTCTACGTGACCAGCTGAAGGCTGCTGCGAAGGGACCTGGAGCATCAGAGAGGAGGGCATGTTGCACTAAGGCCTTTCAGGGCCCTTCAACCCTGATGGTCTATAATCCTGAACTTGAACCCCCCCCCGGGATTTGACACTCTAGGTCCCCTGACCGTCACTGCCGGCAGACTTATGTCTTGTCACTCTGAAATCGGCAGGATCTTCAGGTGGGAACCTATGGGTCCACGCTGCACCAACAGGGGCAAGTGAGGGCTCCCACCTTCTCTGCTTTCAGATGCCTGCCCCCGAAGGAAGGGGCTCGGTGACACCTCCTCAAAGCAACTCTCAGGTCCAGACCCGGCCACATGGTGGCAGAGGACGGTATAGGGGCTGGTTCGTGCAGACCGGAGTGTCAGGATGGAATAGGCTACTTCCTGTGGGACTGGAACATGATTCAGCTCCATGAGCCTCAGTCCCCACCTCTGGAAAATGGGCATAACGTGGTCCCATAGAGGCAATTCTCAACCACCAGCGGTGTCATGCCTCGCACCCCCACCGCAGCCAGTCTGGAATTTGGGCTGTCACGATGACTGGGGTGCTACTACTCTAGGGACCGGGATGCTCAACAGTCTGCAATGGGCTGGCTCCTTCACAGCCCAAATGCCAAGGGTGCCCCCATGCCCACGAAGAGCCCGTGCTCTGTGCCGTCCTTACGCGGAGGGGCACAGGAGGGGGAATTCAGCAGCAGAAGATGGGAGCTCGTGGAGGTGGGGCGACAGGCTGGGCACCTCCGCAGAGCCCCAGGAGTTCCCAGAGGGAGCATGTGGGAAGGGGACCCGGCCCCAGAGGACTCGGGGCAGGCCTTACCCAGCATGCACAGGGGCTTCCTGGCAAACTTCAGCCGCCCCCGCCAGCCCTTGTATCGGCAGCAGCAGCCGGCAGCCCAGATCCTCAAAGCAAACTCGGCTCCGAAGACGAAAATTGCAAATGTTTCCTGGGTGGAAGAAATATGCAGAGACGCGGATTAACCGGGACCCGGGCCCTGCTCTGCTGGTGGAGGGGAGGGAACAGGTGCCCCTCGGGCGGGGCAGATCCCATCTTCATTCTCACGTGCTAACGGCCCCTAACATTCAGGTTTGCAAAGTGATGACTTGTTCTTTTCTTCCGTATTTCTGTTCCAATGGATTATTTTTAAAAATCTCGCTAATGTACTAAAAGCCCCTAAGCAGTGCAGCTGGGTTGAAAAGAGACGTTTCAATGAAGCCGTCTGCTACTCCCGCCCTGTGCCGGGCGCCTGGTGTTGCTCATCGTGGCTGATGTTACCCGGTGCGGCTCCTGGACCAGGCAACATCAGGACCGAGTTTCGTAATTCATCTTCATTTTACATTTCGAGAAACCAAGGCAAAGAATGGCTAGACAAATTTCCCAAGGCTTCAAAGTGGCAAAGAACGAACCCCAGGCTGGGACTGTGGCTCGGAGCCCACATCAGTAGCACTGTGCTGCCTCCTGGGTCACTGGGTCGGCCCCTCCCCTCCCACGCCTCCTGCTGCTCAGACAGGACACCTGCCCCCTCTCTCTTTGGTGGTCTCCTTGGGGGCCTGGGGAGTGGCTGCTCCATAGTGATCCCAGAAACCTAGTTCCTGGAACTGGCATAGGGGCTGGTTTGTGCAGACCGGAGTGTCAGGATGGAATAGGCTACTTCCTGTGTGACTGGAACATGACTCAGCTCCGTGAGCCTCAGTCTCCACCTCTGGAAAATGGGCATAACGTGGTCCCATAGAGGCAATTCTCAACCACCAGTGGTGTTGGCCCACTTAGGACTCAGCTCAGGTGTGTGGCTCGTAAGCACCTGCTCTCAGAAGTGACCTGCTGACTTTGGAGGTGAGGATGTCCTGTCAGTGTGAGGCAAAGCTTCTGCTGTTTTGTAAATCCTAGTTGGGGGGGTGACTGGCACCCCCTTCCCTGAAGAGGTGGGCTGAGTCCTCAGTCGGCAAGGGAGTGGTCATGCAGAGGGGCAGGAGCCAGGGCTGGCCAGGCTGCAGAAAAAGCCAGCCCTTCCTGGGGCCTCTGTGCCTGGTGCGGAGGAGGCTGCCCCAGCCCATCAGCACGTGCTGCTCACCTGATATTTTCACGTATCTGAGGCGAGGGTACGAGGAGACCGAGGGGCATTAGGAACTTGCTGAGGGATGCTAATCCCACTCTGTCCACCACACCCCGGATGGAGAACAGAAAGGGAAACAGGCCGAGGTACTGGGAGGGAGGCCGGAAAGTTTCATGTAGAAATTCGGCTTTGTACTTGGCCTTGAACAGAGTAAGATGCTCACGGTTTACAAAGGAAAAGCAGAGGCAGGGTTTAGAATGGAAGGTGCCTTTGAGTTAACTCTCAGAGGACTGGGAAGCTGTATTTTGGAATTTAATGGGTGCATATTGGTTTTCGCTCTGACCTTGTCTGTGCCCCCTTACCTCTGATCTGGAATGACAAATGGCATTCCCCATGCCACCTGTGCCCCTGGCTGACCTGCCCGGTTGATCCAGGCATTGCTTTCTCATAGACCTGGACTCGGCTAGAGACTCCAGGAAGCCAAGACCAACTGGGCACGACCGCACCCGAGGGCTTCGCGGTGAACGTCCCACCAGAAGCGTCTACCCCAGAAACAGCACCACGGCGGGTCCTCGATCTCACCAGTAACAGAAGCCAGTCTCCCGAAACAGTCTCGTACTCCTTGAACGTGGTCAGGACAGCCAGGATCAAGCACCCCAGGACGATCAGGAACCTATAGGGAAAGAAGGAGTCGAATGAAGCATTAAGTCCTGGCCTCCTCCAAGGCTGGTCAGGGAAAGGTGACAAACAGGGGGAAGAGGCCACGACCTCCATCGGGTGAGGCCATGACCTCCGTCGGCATGAGGACATGACCTCCATCGGCATGAGGCCATGACCTCCATCAGGTGAGGCCACGACCTCCATCGGGTGAGGCCACGACCTCCGTCGACATGAGGCCACGACCTCCATCGGGATGAGGCCACAACCTCCATCAGATGAGGCCACGACCTCCGTCGGCATGAGGACACGACCTCCATCGGATGAGGTCATGATCTCCATGGGGCATGGGCGTGTGTTGTGTTATTCTATTTAACCTCATAACAAACTGTAAGGAAGGTAGGGTAAATATTCCAGTTAAAGAAAACAAGGCTGGGAGGGTTAGGCACTGTGCGTGTTTCTGCTTCATCAGCCAGTTAGTGGAATTGGTTAGCTGGAATTCAGACGAGATCACCGGGTCCCAAGCCAGGGGCTGCAGACTCCCCGAAGACCAAAGTTGTGCCATGCTTTACTAATCATGAGGAATGTGAATAAATTAATAACATGTCCTGCACGTGTAAGACAACGGTTTTCCAATATATGAAAAAGTTCTCAGTGTAAAGAAGACACAAACTCCTTCCAAACACTGATCAATTCAGTGAAAGCCTCTATCATGGTGTCTCAGTACATTTTTTTTTCTTACAGTCAACAGATCCTCCAGGAAATAACGTCTTTCCGCTGGGGATCTTGAGAACTGTTTATGAAATTACAGAGTGTTCTTCCCACCGGCAGGAACAGGAGCCAGAGCCTCCACACTGAGGGATGTGGAACGCTGTTCCCTGAAAGGTCATGGAGGGGTCATCCGGTCCATACCCGTGCCTGAGGCAGGAGCACACTGCAAACGATTTTTTGAGACCATTATCTTTGTAAAATGTGTGTGTGTGTGTGTGTGGGGGGGGGGGGGGGGTGCATGCTTCATTGTTTGAAAGAAAAATGGTTCCACTCCACTCTTGGTGGACAGTCTTTGGTCCAATGGTCAGCATGAGGTTCCCTGGGTCTAGGAGGGAATTTACAAGCTGGGGTCCATGGGTGAAGCTCAGTATCACACACTCAGGTTCTCCTGCTTTATAGGATCTGGCTCTTCACCCTATTAGGTTCCAATCCATGCTTCCTTGGCTAGCTTGTGTGAGTAGATGCCACTTGTTCGCTCGCTCATTCATTCATTCATTCATTCATTCTACATTTATGTGGCAGGCAGCGGGGACGCTGAGCTGGATTTCAGCGATGAAAAACCTGGACCTGTTACTCACGAACTCAAAGTCCCGACAGACAGACAGCTCTCTCTTGGTGTGATGAGAAGGACCATGGTGTAAGGAGGTTTGGAAATGTCTGCTCCTGGCCGTGGCTGGGGACCTGAGTCCTGGCTCTGAGCATTGGTGATCCTGATCACATTTTCTGATCAGTAAATCTGCGGATCTGCAGACCTGAATCTCTCTGTTTCCAACCCTGCCTAGGAACCTAAGCAAGATTTTCAACTCCCTCCTGCATTGGCGATTTTATTTTATATTCATGACTGACCCATGCCTGGAATCGGCTTACCCTGAATCCCAGACCATCTCTGCCGGTGCCGGTGATGGTGATGGTGATGGTGATGGTGATGATGATGGTAACAATACCCACCACTATCCCTTAGTGAGCACGGACCACCCCCCACTTTATATCTACCATCTCATTATCCTCACAACCACCTCCCACTGTAGAGATAATCGCACCCATTTTAGAGACAAAGAAACTCATTGGAAGGAATGATTAACATCAAGACAGTTGTGTTGTCAGTAAAAAGACCAGAGTTTGTAGTCCAAGGTCACAAAGGAGGCTCTGGCACTCTGTGATCTCCAGTAGCTGAATGACTCTGAGCACCCCAGTGAGCATGTCCACAGAATGGGAATAACAATCTTCCTAGAGGTCACAGCTGTTGTGAGGACCACAGGAGAGAATGGATGGGGGATTGTTTGGTTGACTGTATAGGCTCTTACAAATGATGCCTGGGTTCTTCCAGACACACGCTCATCATTGATCTGCCAGGTCCTGGGAAACATGCAGAGAACTCAATGCATCTCAGATGATTCTGAAAGTCCAAACTAGTTCTCTCAAGATTTTATTCTATTCACTCCTAGGCTTTGGAGTTAAGACCTAGATTAGAATCCTCTTCCTCCTACTGTGTTATGTCATCCTAGGAAATTGAACAACCTCTCTGCATCTCGATGTCCCCATCTGCAAAGTGAATCCAATAAACGTGCTCATGTCCTCAATTATTCGATACTATAATCCAGGTCAGGTGCCTAGAGGAGTACCTGGTGGATAGTTAGCCTTCCCTAAGTGTTAGCTATTTTGTTGTGACTTGATAGCTATAGATCTAGTGCCTCTTTTGTTCTGGGCGTAGTAGTGGTTTTAAGGATGCAAACAGGAATAAAACCTAGTCCTCATTTTCAAGTACTCTTAGTCCAGGGGAGGAAACAGAAGATAGATAGTTACAGGAGAGTGTAGTTAGGGTTACTGTCCAAGTGTCCACCCCATGCTTTGGGCATACAGGATAGGAAGCATCCAAGAGGCTGCAGCCAAGGTTGGAAGGGTTGACCAAATGTCTCAGTTTACCCAGGACATTCCCCATGCTATGTGTGTAGATCTGGACCGTGGCTCCTTAGGCATCATGAACAATGTGCACATGGACAGTGCAAAAGTTCATGGACACAGAGCCTGGTTTGATCTTCTCCTTTAGCAAGGGGTATAGACCTCTTATAACCTGGCCTTGCTCTCCTCACTGCCTCATCCACTGCTTCCCCATCCCTGCCCACCACACCAAACGACGGCATTCCCTCAAACTCTTTGAGCCCATGTGGTTTTGATGCTCCTTTTCCCCGCCCACGCCCCCACAATCCCCTTCTTCCTCTTGCTAATGCCTTGGCGGTGCCAATCACAGCTTGCTTCTAGATCCTTTCGTGACCCAGTTGCTCTCTGCGGGTTCCCCTGGGGGATCCCGACCTTGAGATCAGAGAACACCTGAGGCATTTCTCTTCTAGTCCTGACCAGAACCCATGATCATTTTACAACCAGTCACTTGCATTGCGCAGTAAATAAAACACACGATCCTAACACCTGACACTAGAATCCCTCTCCGGGTGGGGCCGCCTTTGTCTAGTGAAATAGTTTATGGAGGCAGGTGGGGTGCAGGTTGCAACCCTAAATTATGCGACTGCTAAACTCCTCAGCAATAAAATTAAGAAATTGGAGACGGGAGTCGTCTTGAGGGCTGGGAATGGTAAAGGAGAGGCTACGGCCTCACCGCAGGCTGAAGCGTTTTTATGAACAAGAATGTCTACAATTTTAGGTCTGTGGTCCTGCCTGGACACCATCAACCACAGCCTTGTGTAAGTGGCTTGGTCTTGAGTTGGCATGGGACATGGAGCTGAAGCCCGTGCGGGGAGAAAGAGTAGCTCTGTGTCCCGCAGCAGACCTAATTCAGACAGGCCTGAAGCCAGACTGCGACTCTCCCTACACTTCGCATCTGGAATGTATGTACATCCTGGGGCGTTCCATGAGGGAGTGTGTGTGCTCGGCATGCCCCAAGGTTGCTCCCAATGTGTCCCTTGGAGAATCCCCACCCTTGAGTGCGGGTAGCACTTTGACTTGCTTCTCACCGCAGAATAAGGCAAAGATGATGGGATGCCACTCCCTCGAGTGGGTTTCGTTATGCAGCACAGGCGACGAGATAGATGTGCCTGTGACTGTGCTCCTTTACGTGAGACTCGGCCTTAGCAGGACGGAGCTGGAGGCTTTCCTGCTGGCCTGGGAGTGAGCTGCTGTGTTGTGGGGGCTGGTCGAGCCACAGGGCAGGAAACTGCGGTGGCTTCTAGGACCTGAGAGAAGCCCCCAGCTGACGGCCAGCATGTAAGTGGGACCTCCGTGCTACAACCACGAGGACCAACACTCAGTGAGCGGGGGGGGAGAATTCCCAAGCTGCAGAAAGGAACATCACCCAGCCCAACCTGCTTTGTGAGACCCTAGCCCAAGGACTCAGTGATGCTGTGCCAGAATCCCAGCCCACGGACACCGTGAGACAGCAAACGTGTGTGTTATAAGCCACTGGCTGCTATGCAGCAATGGAAAGCCAACAAGACTGGGACTCTGTGCCAAGTGCACCCAGTTCTTAGACAGCAGGATAACCCCACCCCAACTTCCTCAGGTCACGTCTGGCTGCGCGTGCCTGCTTGGCCTACGCGACTCCACTTCGAGGGTGGAGACGGCCGTGTTCTCACTGTACCCCAGCGACTGTCTCCAAGTCTGGCGCTTGTTAAGAACCTGTAAGTGTTCAGAGAATGGGTAAAAACAATTTCAGAGATGAGCAATTGCCCTGTTGTTTGAATAAATGGCAAAGGACACAAGGTGGTTCTGAAGAGACAAGGTGGCTATGTAGGACTGACTTGGTAGGCCAAGTGAAAGGTTTCTATTTTATTCTGCAGAAGATCTTTAAATATATACAGCTCCATATCAATACCCACATCATCTATATCTATATTTATATCCATAACTACATCATCTACATCTGCTTCTACATATCCATCTATACCATCTCTATCTCTACACCTGCATCTTCTGCATCTGCTTCTACATATCCATCTATACCATCTCTATCTCTACACCCGCATCTTCTGCATCTGCTTCTACATCTCCATCTATACCATCTCTACCTCTCCACCTGCATCATCTCCAGCTGCTTCTACATATCCATCTATACCATCTCTACCTCTACACCTGCATCATCTCCAGCTGCTTCTACATCTCCATCTATACCATCTCTACCTCTCCACCTGCATCATCTACATCTGCTTCTATATCTCCATCTATACCATCTCTACCTCTACACCTACATCATCTACATCTGCTTCTACATATCCATCTATACCATCTCTACCTCTA